TCGGACACATTAGTGTATACAGAGGCAAAAGAGGCAGGAGTCATTCTGATTAGAGCAAGCTGATCAGGACTGTTTCAAAAACCTTTGAACATGAGTTAAAAATGTATGCATATCAAAATGTTGGAGATGGTCTCGCTCATTTCTGCCGTCACTATAACTCAGCATTTTCTGTACACTGTAAAGGACTGAAGAAAACACTAGACTGGTCTTGTTGACGTTGTGCTCTGTTGATTTCTGTTTGGTATTGATGTTTTCCTTTTGACATTGTGCTTCGTCACGATGTTTGTGAACTCTCTGATTTAGGGTCACGTTTTTGTACATGTTTGCATGCTCTCTGTTTTGTGTTGCTACTGTAAATCAGTCACGTTGTTGTGTGCAAGCTAGACACCACCTTTTTAGCATATGTAAATACACAACATAGCGTAGCATGTAAATACATAACACAGCATGTGAATGCTAAATCATGGCAGTCTTGATTATGTGGCTGTGTGTTACACATGAATGTGAGTGTTCATGGCTGTTCATTGTGGGCTGAGTAAAATGGTTCAGATGCACAGAACATTGTGTGTTTGTATGTGAGTGTGTAGGAGGAGGGTGTCTGCGGCAAAAGCACGCTCCGTTTTCTCACCTGTTTACACTTTAGCACCTGTTATTCTGCTTCTTCCTGAGCCACTAAAGAAAAGTACATAGTGTCCAGAGAGCAGGGGAAGGAGTTCAGTACAGTACAGCCTCAGTAAAGTACAGTGAGGACAGATTTACTGGATTATTATTGTTTTTTTACTCCAGCTGTTCGTTACATTGTATGAACATTTCATAATGGCCAATACAACTGCTTCAAACCTACCTGGAGTACAATCTTCTTACATTAACTTCCATTAAATTAAGATTTTATTTTAGTACCTCATTCAATTTCCATTTTAGAGAGGTTTTGTTACAACAGTGACAATATGTTTGGCCACATATGAAAACATTTAGGTGTTCAGCTTTTTCCTTGTATGTATTATGTAGCTTCTTTTCACTCAGCCTGCAAAGGTCAGATCTGTACACTTTAAAACATAATGTGTTAAATCAACACAGCAGCCTGTATCAGACCACAACACAGCAAATCTCTGATAAAGACTGTGTTATTAGGACAAATCCCTGTGGTAAACATTTCAGCACAGTGCCCGTGTTAGTTCAGATAACATGCTTAGAAGGAACACAGAAGGTGCTGCCCCTAACTGGACACGCTGTGTGCTGTTTTTAAAGCATCTGAGTGTTTTACGTGGTCTGTAGAGTGTGGTGGGATTAGCAGGAATGGGGAAGGGAAGGGAATCTGGCCTTTTTAGGCCTGTCACCTGTTGTGAAGCAGGACAGGTGCAAACTCCAGTTTCATGCTGCTGTGTACACAAAACCTCATCAGCCCACAGAAACTACTGCAGCGCATTCAGCCAGGACACCTCAACGCCAGCGCTGACTCAACGTCCACTCACAGCACTGATACAGCGCTGACGCACAGATCCACTGAGCCTCAATCTGTACGAGTGAGCCAGCACAGTCATTAAGGAGAGAGGGAGAGAGGGAGGGAGAGAGAGAGCAGACAGGCAGACAGACAGGGATGGTGAGAGAAAGAGAAAGACTGCTATTCTGAAAGAAAAAGATTAATAGTAATGAAAAATGAAAGAGTGAAAATAGGGAAAGAAAATGAGATTAAAATGGAAAAGACAAAAAGAGAGAAGAATGGGGAGAGAGCTAGAGAGAGAAAAAGAGGGATAGAGATGCGGAGAGAACAAGAGAGAGGGAAAGGAATATGAGAGAGAGAGAGAGAGAGAGAGAGAGAGAGAGAGAGAGAGAGAGAGAGGATAAGGATGGGAAGAAAAAGAAAGAAGGATACAAACAGGTAGAGAGAAAAAGATATAAATAGGGGAGACAGAGAGAAAGGAATGAGAGAGACCGATAGGGTTGGGAAGAAAAGAAAGAAAGAAAGAAAGAAAGAAAGAAAGAAAGAAAGAAAGAAAGAAAGAAAGAAAGAAGAGGAACAACACAAAGAAAAGAATAGATATGAAAGGGGGAAGAGGAGAGAAAGGAATGTGAGAAAGAGGGAGAGAGAGACACAGGAGAAAGAAAGAAAGAAAGAAAGAAAGAGATGAATGCGAGAGAGAGAGAGAGAGAAGAAAAGAAGAGAGGAAGAGAGAGAAAGAGATAGGGCATTGGGAGAAAGAAAGGAAAGAAAAAAGAAAGAAAGAAAGAAAGAAAGATGAATGCAGAGAGAGAGAGAGAGAGAGAGAAGAGAGAGAGAGAGAAGAAAAGAGGAGAGACGAAGAGAGAGAAAGAGATAGGGCATTGGGAGAAACAAAGGAAAGAAAGAAAGAAAGATATGAATGCAAGAGAGAGAGACAGACACTAAGCTGGAAGAGAGAGAGAGTAATAAGGAGAGAAGTCTCTGTTCAACAATGCTGCCACTGACGTGAGCTGTGAACTCAATAGACTGGGAGAGCAGACGAGGGTCAGGCTGACCGCACGCTCGTCAAAGGAGAATAAGCAGGCGACGACCACGTGGCCACAGCACACAGCCTGCTTTGTGTCCGGCCTGCGCAACCATGATATGCGTCCTCGGTGGCACAAAGGCACTGTGACGTTGGGTCCATGTGACGTGGCCCATTCTGACGAGGTGCAGCGAACACTACCTGCGGGTGTGTGATGTGCCTGCAAGGAAAGTCAGTGCTATTGAAAGAAACGTTTAATAGGAGTTTCTGACAATAAAATGCGGTGGGGCAGGCAGAACGTGGACCTGCCACATTCCACCGATCATATGACTTCTGACATGATGCTGTTTTCTCTTCCTGGGAAAAAACGTTCACGAAAAATGTTCTGCAGTTAACGTGTTTCAAATTCCATGCGTGCTTATTATGCATTGTCTTTAAAAGGTAATGCTCTTTCACTGATAGACGGCTTATCTTCACTTCTTCATCTCTTACTTTCTCTATGGCCTGTACAGACTTAAAATGGTTCCCAAGTGGTTCTTGCCTTGGATGTACATTTCTAAAACAAAACCTGTCACTGAAATAGAACCTTTACAATTCATTTTAAAAAGGTTCATCATTTACAAAATCATTATTTAAAGCTACACTATATACGTTTTTAGGGATTTAGAGACCTCTCTGGTGGAAATGTGTAATTGCAGGAAGGTGTGGAAGAACACTTTGTAACATGGGTTGTGTTTTGGTCTCTTCCCCAAGCAGTTGAATCTGATAGTCAGTGTGTTGAAAGAGTATTTAAAGATAACACTGTCCAAACTTGTTTAAGGACGTGGTTGTAGGTGAATTATCTACTGTTGTCATCATATCTTCATCCGTATGTTGATTTTGCATTTCAGACCTAAACATCAAGTCAAATTGAGTTTTATTTATAAAATTAAGCTATATTTTGTTACTAAAATACCTGAAAAAAAAATGCTAATTTAAAAAAAAATAAGATTTTTATAAGTTCAATATTGAATGAAACAGTATAGAAATGTGTCCTCTCATTAAGTGCAGGGGTGGGATAAGGGTAACTCTTCTAGCAGGCCAAATCAAATGTCCTTTCGGGCCAAATTTAGCATGAGGGTCCCATTTTAGAATGTGTTCAAGGTGAGAGTGCATGAAATGTATCGCTGTTCTCTGAAGAAAACCTTGTATCTCCAAAATGGTAACTTTACAGGAGAAGGAAAAAGCCTACTTTACTTTTAATGTAAGTCAATGGAACCATTGGAAGTCATTTTGGGCCGTTTCATTTGGTCCATTCTTCCTGAAATTTACACACAATGTAAAGGGCAACAAGAGATACAAGGTTTCTTTCTGACAGCAACATTATATTTGTAGGTTTATTACTTAGGAAAACTTACTACATTACAAAAACACACCTGAAAACAAACCTGAGCCCGATCCGAAGCCTGATGTTGCATGTAAAAAAAGTCGGCCCAAAACCTAGTATTTTGACTGGCCCAATCAGGCTGGGGTCAGGCAGCAGACCTTTGGGCAGCCCTGTTCTATTACATCACTCCAAAGAATTCACTTGAGCACCTTTATTTTTAGGACCTCACTGTGTTTTCTATGTTGTTTTGTTTTGCTACTTGGACATTTTGAACATGTTGTCAATATCAAAGTCATCCGTGCAGTACAAACTGATGTGACTGAGTTTGAGAGAGTTGTGAAGAGCATGGGTGGAATTCTAAAAGGGTTTGGCTACCGTGTGAATACTCAGAGCATTAGCTGAGATGCAGCAAACAGGAGAAAAACAATAAACGGCTTAGCAAAGAAGTCAAGACAGTAGTCTCAGTATTGTGTTTCAGCTGGAGAATGTCTTTGTAACAGGCTTTCTATCTCAAATTCATTCCCTTCAGGACTGACAACACATTCTCATACCGCACTCAGTATGATGTATCTCACTAGTGTTTGCTTTCCTGTTTCGTGCTACTCGCCGGACGCTCTGCTTTTACGCTCTTCTTTCTTCTCTTACGTCGTGCTGCTCTGGCTTCATTTGTTTTGCTTTGGACAAGACAGAACAGCCGTAATCGTGCTCTAATGTTCTATGCTACCCTGCACATACACTGCTGCTCTGTTCAGCGCGCGCGCATTTTTTGCTGCGCCACTTTGCCTTTTGATTGTAACAAAAGCCTCCTGAATGGCCCATGCGACGTGCACATAGCATTTTCTCAATGGCAGAGAGTTGAGCTTTTCATTCCTGCTGTCCACGCACACGCGTCCTGTCCTCCTGACCTTTACGCGCTGTTTCTGTTTGCTCCCCTGAAAGAACATTTCAGTGGATGGTTCTTCAGGCTTAAGTTGTCAACGAGATGTGTGAGTATGAAGAAGATTTTTAAAGTTTGAAGAACCTCCATAATGGCAACCAGAAAGTTTTCATAGGATACAGAAACCTTCATTTCTGGGAGTGTGGCCTGCTCCTGTTTTGTAGGCCCTACGCTGGTACTAACGCAAGTAGCAGACATCCTGGTGTTTGTTACACTGGAAGGAAATCCTTACCTTTCTTTGGCTTGGGCTTTTCTTTCCTCCCCTCTTTTCCCTCCTTCTCCTCTCTTTCCTTCCACCGCCGCACTTGCTCCTCTCTCATCTTCAGAAAGAGCGTCTTCTTCTGCTCCTCGTTCAGAGCCTCCAGAATGTCTGGGTCGATGTACATGTCTGCCAGGATCTGCTGCAGCATGGTGGGGCGTGAGTGGCCTGGTCCTAACTGCCGGGTGAGCGTGTGCAAGTAAACAGAAAACACTCTCTAAAGAGTGCTTCTCTTATGTTCTCCTCTCGGAAGGAAAATTACCCCTGTCGTCCTGTAGCTGGCGCTGTTTGTGTGGTTTCAGCTCTGCTCATTCCTCTAGCAGTGAGTGTAGGAGTTCTATGGTGAGAGAGAGAGAGAGAGAGAGAGAGAGAGAGAGAGAGAGAGAGAGAGAATGGATCCATTACAACATCTGTTGCCATTTTGTAAAGCCTGTCTTTATCTGGCAGGCTTGCACTTCTTTGTCTTAATCCCCTCTGGTTTCATTCTTAAAGGAACAGTCGGACTAAAAATGCTAACTTTGCTAATAAAGACTCACAGCTAGGCAATGCTGTATTCACGTTGGCCAGTTATGCCATTAAAACATTATAGTGCATCAAATCAATTATACTGAAGGGTGCCTATTCACTTCCATTCATTGGGCCTCATTCACCAAGCATTCTTAAGAAGAAATGTCTTCTTAAAACCCACTTACGCAGTTTTCACAAAGATTCTGACATTCACTACTGTTTTCTTATTAGAGATTTGTTCTTGGGCAAGAACAGAATCTACACACACTCAAGAGCACAAAGGTGCGAACAGTTCTGCGATGTAAGATTTGACGTAAACTGTTTCTTAGGACCTTTAGCAAGAACAAATTTAATAAGGCGCATTTTTAGCCAAATAGGCTAAATGTTTTTCATCTACTAAGGTGATAAACAATGTCTTTCCTTCCTTTGCCAACTCTGTTTGAACCACAGGTCCAAGTGATCTTCAGTCAGGAATTACTGAAATAGTGCTAACAACATCCGCCTCACCTAGCACAGAGTTTGCCTACACATAGCAAGGTTAATGTACATCTCACATGCTTTAGCAGGGGGTATTTCGGAAAGCAAGAGTTTCTTAGCTAGCCAAAATACTTAAAGGGGAATTCCACCAAATTTTCATAGTATCTGAATAATTCTGCCCTTGAGATGTAAAGAAAGTCATTCCGAGTGGTTTGATCTGCAACATTTCCTTGTAGAGAAACTAACAGACTCTGATTTCTTTACAGTGGTGTTGATAGGAATCAGAGGTTGCGATGGCTACAACACAAATATAGCCATTTTATATAACATCCAAAACCACCAGTGAAACTCACATGCCTTCTGAGTTTTATATGTAATGCTGATAGTGGTAAAAAAGGGGGAGATCTTAAGAATTTTTTTTTTTGCCTTGCAACGCCTGCATGTAACACTCCAGCCGTGAATGGGTTAAAATAAATGGATTAAAATAAAGCCAAAATGATCATAAGAATATGTCAGATATCAGGTAGCATCTATTTCATGTAATAGCTTTCTGTAGGGGAGCTTTCAGGTGTTTAACTCTTCAGACGTTTGGTTTCTATCACCACCATTGTGAACAGTTCTGACTCAGCAAGTTTCTCTAGAACAGAGCATTTCACACCAAACCACTCTGAATGACCTTGCTTACATTTCAACCATTGAATTATGCAGAACTTTTGGAAAATACATGAAGTTCCCCTTTAAAATCAAAAGTCTGAGACATTTCTGTTGGACAATCTTCATTTTGGGACCCGGCTCATAAAGCAAAGGTTTCTCGGTTATCACAAAACTGAAGTGCGTATTGTTCAACATGTTCTTAACAATAAACATGGCAAAAAGGGCTCTTTGGAACACCTTCACCAATATCTTCCTAAGTTTCTTCTTAAATGTGTTCTTGAGAAAGATACTAAGAAAAAGTCTACGTCAGATTAATGACGTGTTCCTAAACCACAGAACTGTTTGCATCTTTGTGCTCTTCAGTGTGTGTAGATTCTGTTCTTATCCAAGAACAAATTCCAAGTAAGTAAACAGTAGTAAATGTCAGAATCTTCGTAAAAACTGCATAAGTGGGTTTTACAAATAAATTTCTTCTTAAGAATGAAGGCCCAGTGCCCTCTGTTAATCCAGTAAAGAACCAAGAATTACTGTTTTAATTGAGTTTTTAAAGAACCGTCCACTGAAAAGCTCTTCAGGGAAACAAAAGTGATTCCTCTGTGGCATCACTCCTAATAAGTTCTGGCAGCTTTGTTTCTAGGAATGTAGGAATGTCCCTCCTGCCCGACAGGCTTGTCTTTAGGCTTCAGGGAGAATTACATACATTTTCTGAAGATTTTACATAATTAATTTGTTTTTTGAGATGTAAACAAAGTGATGGGTAATCTGTTTTAGAGACACAAATTCAGGACTGTTTACAGTGGTGGTAGATAGATGATGTTTTATGATCATGGTTTCGAGATCATGTGTTCGGTCTACAGAATGCTTTTACTTACCTTTATCAATAGTCCATATTAAAACTCTGAAGACATGTAGGTTTACTAGTGGTTTTGGATAGTAAGTAAAGTGGCTATATTTGTGCTGTAGACATTGTGAGTCCTGGTTCCTATCACCACCACTATAAAGAAACCAGACCAAAGTAGATGTTTTTCTACGCTAAACCACATTTCACAACAAACCAAACTGAATCTCAATGATTAAGACATGCAGAGGTTCTGGGAAATTGGTGGAGTTCCCCTTTATGTTATGCAGCCATACTTAACAAACCTGTTTTAATAAACTCCCCCCAGGTATACGGCTCTAAGTGGAACGCCTTTGTCTTTGTGTTTCTGTGAATCAGCCTGCCATTCAGAGTGACTGCAGAGTGGGCCGTGTGTTCAGCTCATGACAGTGGCCTCTGTTCATATGATCCCAATCCTCTGCATGTGTTGACAAAGACGGCCTGTTTTAGTCCAGCCCTGTGTGTTTGGCCGTTCTGTATTCTCCTCATGCTCCTCAGCTGCTGCTGTTGATTTAGCAAAACGAACCTCTTTTTCTCCCTCTCATTCACTCACTTTATGTACTCATCCCTCATGATTATCTATTCATCCAGCAGCCTTTATCATGCCTTCTTTCTTGCAGTTTGGCCGGTTTGCAGAGTTTATTGCACCCTCCTCCCTTTCTGTTTCTCATTCCTGTTCTGCCACTGCTGTCTTTCTTTCTTTCTTTCTTTCTTTCTTTTCTGTCTCTCTTTGTATGATGATCACACATATCAGAAAAGCTATTCACACCTCTCCAGCAGGGAGCGGCCCTCTTTTCAAAAGTAAACATCAATGTGCATCTCTATGATCATTCACGTCACAAAGCCAGCGAGTCTACGAAAGCCACCCAATATCTTTTTGGTGTGCGTCCACTTTAACACTTCAGCAGTGGTTCCTGATCAGCATGACACACATACCATCACTGGTGGAACAAAAAATTGTATCTACACTTATGTCGTTTTCTTATTTCTTTACATAATTTACATACAAAATACCAGCTAAAATTTAAAATGGACCAAGAAAAATTACCCAAAATAAATTAATCTAAAACCTTTTCACATTAACTTCCACAAAATTCAACATTTTTCCTTCTCCTGTAAAGTAACTATTTTGGAGATGCAAGGATTTTGTCAGACAGTGACTACATTCAGTCTTAAAAGTGAAGGTAGAAAAAAAAAAGGTGAAGTAGTGCCACAAAGCAATCACTTTTGGTTCCTGAAACGTCCTTTTATTGGGGGGTTCTTCAAAGCAGTGGCTCTCAAACTTGTCCCCAGGCAATCCACTTTTGTGCTCGATCCCAGCTCCCAACACATGGGCATAGAGGAACAATGTGGACCGTGTGGTGGTCCTTGATGACCGCTGCTTTAAAGAGGAACCTTCTTAAAAGTTTAAAGAACCTCCACACAATGTAAAAAGTTTTGTGTTAAAAGTTTTTCCCCTAAAGAACCTATCAGTGGATGATTATTTGGGCTTGCATTGTCTATGAGATGCACAAGTACATGTACAGAACCTCCACAGAATATAAAGGTACTAAGAAGGCAAAGTTCTTTCCTTCAAACCAAGAACCATCTAAGAACCATTCTAACCTCAATATACAGAAGTTGTAAACTGAAGCGTAGCAATGTAAGCTCTATTAAGTCTAAGAAGTACCCCCTACATTAGGCCCCAGCATTAAGAAACATTAAGAATAACAGAAGAAAAGCTCTGAATAGCTTCTTTGCCAACCATTAACCACACTCAACTGAAAGAAACAATGGAGTATGCCAAGACTGAGACATCTACACAGAGAGACTGTCTGTCAAATAACACTTTAAAAAGCACTGAAAAAGGGACAAGAAAGGCAGCAGAGGTCAAACTAAAGCAAAATGAGCTCATCTTTTCTTCAGCAGAGAAACACGAGTGGGTTAGTGGAGCAGTCCTACAGTGAGTAGAAGAAGGAAAAGAAGCCAAAGCTAAAGAAGCAAAAGAGTGAGAAAGAATCTAATGAAGTGTTTGCGGAGAGTTAAGACGGAGAAGACAGTAAACACATACTCACATTCTGAGTGAGAGGTGCCGAGTCAGCCGGAGCAGAGTTGTGTTTGAGTGCACTAGAGTGAGTATGTGTGCTTCTCTCGCTCACGCCTTTGTATGTGAGTGGGGTGGAGTGACATCATAGCATTCCTCTTTGTTTCTCCCTCCCTCCTCCTTTCTTTCTCAGACACTAACTCAACACAGCCTCTTCCCTGCCTCCTCCACATTTCTCTCCCCCTTTCTCTATACTTAGAAGGGGAACTCCAACCAAATTTGTCAAATTTGCAGTGAAAATTCGCTGGTTGAGAGTAAACAAAGTCATTCAGAGTGGTTTGATGTGAAATGGTTCATTGAAGAGAAACTTATTATCTTAGATTTCTTTACAGTGGTGGTGATAAGAACCAGGAGTCACAATGTCGACACAAACATAGCCATTTTATTTACTATCCAAAATAACCACGCTGCTGAAAAATCTCATAGAAACCATGGAGTGTTTCTCTTGGTTTCTGTCAGTTTTGTAATGTGCTTTGGCTTTTTAAATGGGTTGATATCACAATGTAAAGGATCCTAATGGTTTAACAGGTGACCAGTGGCTGATTTAAATGCATTTGATGGATTCCTAATGGGACCTAAAGGTGTTCTACAGGAGACTAGAGGTCTCTTTTGAAAACTACTAAGCTAATTCCCTTTACAAGGTCCTTTTAATTCCCATTAATGTTCCTTTTTCAGCAGGGCAGCAAACCTGTCTTCTGGGTTTTTTTATGTAATGTTGATGATGATAAAACAGTAATAAATCTAAAAACATAAGGACCAATTAGCCTTAAGTTACAGTTTAGGTTTAACCCTTATCTTATAAACAATCATAAAAGAATGTCTGAGTGGACACAGGCAGTGTATTTGTAACTATTTTGTGCATTAACCTTCTGTGAAGTAGCTTCTGCGTAATAGGTATTAAACCACTATGATGATCTTAATGATTTAATTAAGCAGAAATATTTGTATGAAAATATAATAAAATACCCCTTTAACATGCTTTGGCGCCTCACATTCTTTTCACAGTTTAATTCAGTTAATTAATTTCATCCTTGTCTTCTTTCCACACAGACCCCAAGTCTCTCTCCAGGATGACAGTTAGCACTGTGGGCAAACTGACACGGCTATGAATTCAACAGCCAAACGGCCACACATTGTGTTGCCCCATCTCCATTGATTAGACTCAAAGCGGGTGTGAAAGTGGGGGTTGAAAACAGAAAGGGAGGGTGGAGGAGGAAGGGGTGGGGCTCTTAGTTATTTAGGCCCCTCTTTATCTACAGTGTCTAGATAGCTTGCCCTGTCATGTCCACTTAATCACTTAAGAGAAATGCAAAAAAGTAATGTAACAGATCCAAATTGCTAACTTTACAGCCATGTTTGATATATACCTGCCCCTTTAAAGGGGAATTCCATCAATTTTTCAAAATTTCTACATAATTAAATGATTGAGGTGTAAACAAAGTCATTCAGAGTGGTTTAGTGTGAAACGCTGTCTTTTATAGAAATTTAATGAGTCAGAGTTGTTCACAGTGGTGGTGATAGGAACCAGATGTCCACCTCTAAAAGCTCCCTCACAGAAAGTTATTACATGAAATGGAAACATTATATGAACATGCCGCTTGATGTCTGACACACTGTTGTGTGATATTTTTAGATAAGATTTTAGCCCCAAAAGTATTTTTTAAAGGCCATTTATGGCAGAGAGCTACATGCAGGGCACTGTAAGGCAAAATAGTCCCTTAATAAAACTTGTTTTTTTTTCAAATTTACCACTATTTTGCATCATTAACGTTACATATAAAACGAAGAAGACGTGCAGCTTCACCCACGGCCTCTATATGGCTATATTTGAGTTGTAAACATTGTGACCCCTGGTTCCTATCACCACCACTGCAAAGAAATCTAAATTGATAAGTTTCTTTATAGTCCATTATTTCACACCAAACTACTTGGAATGACTTTGTTTGCAACTCAACCATTTAATTATACAGAAATTGTAATACCTCTAAAAGTTGCCTCGCAGAAAGTTATTACTTGAAAGGGCTTTTTCTTGATGCCTGAGATATTGTTTTGTCATGATTTTGTGAAAAGATTTTGGCCTCAAACTTAATAAACACTTAGGGCAGAGAGGTGCATGCAGGGCACTTTAAGGCAAAACAGTACCCTCAGAGGACACATGCAGGTTCACTGGTTGTTGTGGATAATAAATTGAGTCATGACCTGTGAGTCACAGTTGTTTACATGAAATTCTTCATTCTAGAGAAACTTACAGAGTCTGAATTGTTCTCAGTGGTGGTGATAGGAACCAGACGTCTGAAGAGTTTAATGCCTCACAGAAATGACTTGAGATGGTTTATATGCTGCCTCATGCTTTGTTCAAAATCCATTCATGGTGGAGAGAAATAGTTACTGAAGAAATATTTTTTCAGATGTATTTAAATTTATTTTTCCATTTTCATTATTACCTTGTTGTATGTTCACTGGTCTTTCCAGAACAGTAAATAAGTTGGCTTGTTCCTTTCATCACCACTGTAAAGAAATATGACTTTGTATGTTTCTGTACAATACACCATTTCATATCAGACCACTTTGAATGACTTTGTTTACCTCTCAGTTATGCAGAAATGTTGGAATTTCCCTTTTAAAGCCTTATGTGTGTGTGGCTGTGTAGGGTGGGGGTGGGGGTTAAGGTTAATTAGGGTTAGAGGCCATGGCTGAAACATTTACACAATGAGACTGTCCGACAAAAGAGCTGGAAAGTTGACTCAACAAAATCTCTTTCGCTTCTGAACAGCATGTACTGAATGAGAAATGAAAAAGGGTAAGAGAGGAGCACAGCTCAATATATCAGGACAGGTTGTTCAGTGTTTATATGCAGTAGATCAGTAATCAAACATGCAGTTGGGAAGTGTTTTTAAGTGCTGATGATATCCATGAAATGCCCAGAAAAGCACATTGTAACATACTGTGACATAATTAATTTTGAAATACTGTCATGTTGCTGAGGCTTAATATGCAGGCAGTTTCTGAAAAGCAGTGTTGAAAAAAGGAAGAAGAAAATGAATAAGGAAAAGGGGAAATCCAGATGAATGAAGGATGTAGTTCCCTATTAACAGCTACTTCCTGTTCATTTTAATAACGTCCATCAGTGGTCAGTTCTAACCCAGCCCTAGAAATCTGTGTTCTTACAGAGTTGCGTTCCAGTTTAAAACGTATCTGATCTGAGTCATATCCTTAGAATTTGGTTAGCTGGATGAGGTGCATATGTTCATAATACAAGCCATACTGCTCAGTTCCAGCTTTCTTTCAGAACGGTCAATACAGTTCTCATTATAATCCACAGTTAGGAGGTCCACATTTCCTGCAATTCATCTTGTGCACTTGAGCCAAGCAGCCCCAACATGGCACGTTATGGGGAAACTGCAGTTTCAGATTGAGGCACCAAACAGAAATAATCAGAGTTTTTAACTTAAACTAAACCACAAATATAAACATTTAATGGCAACCAGATAATGTATTTTAATCAATTGAATATTAAGCTTGTTTCGTTTATCACTAGCTTACATTGTAGAATAATATCAATAATAAGAAAAATAAACCTGTACAATACCACTTTGTTTTTATTATTTCTTTTTTTCTGTTTAGTAAATTAAACATCATCTTGTTAAAACAAAATGTAAAATGAAATCATATTTTTATTTTGGGTCCAAACATCAAACTTAGTGGTAACAATAGCTTGTTATAAATTTTATGTAAATTTAATTTACACAACACTGTATTTCGTTATTTACTCTCCCGTTTAGTATGTGTTTTGACAATAACCCTACACTTGGGCACGCGTACATGTGTGCCAACGAACCCCATTCAGGTACAACACAGAGTCATGTCATCTCCGAAATTCTCAGATGACACAGCCATTGTGGGGTGCATGAGGAATGGACAGGAGGAGGAATACAGGATGCTGGTGAAGGACTTTGTTGCCTGGTGTAAGCTGAACCAGCTGCAGCTAGACACTTTAGTAAGACTAAGGAGATGGTGCTGGACTTCAGGAAGTCCAAACCTGCCTTGTCATCAGTCACCATTGATGGAGTTGAGGTGGTTGGGACATACAAATATCTGGGTGTGCACTTGGACAGCAAGCTGGACTGGAGCTGTAAAGCTCACAGTGTACAAGAGAGGCCAAAGCCATCTCTACCTCCTGAGGAGGCTGAGGTCTTTTGGTGTGTGCACTAAGCTCCTACGGACATTCTAGCAGTATGTTGTAGCGAGTGCTCCACTCTGTGCTGTGCTGGGGCAGCAGCATTAACAAAAGTGCTCTGAACAAAATGAACAAACTTATTAGGAAGGCTGGCTCGGTTGTAGGGATCAAGCTGGACTCTTTGGAGGTTATGACAGAACAGAGGACGCTCAACAAGCTGTTAGCCCTATTGGACAACACCTCACACCCTTTGCATGCTACACTGGATGAACAGAGAAGATCTGATTAATACACACTTCGCAATATATCATAACTACTACTGTAATGACACTCACTATGCACTTTACACTGTAATATTGATGCAACTCCGAGTTATGTCTATAATCTGTGCTTTTAGTTTACGCCATACCACTCAGTGCCTGCTGTCATGTAAATACAACAAATCTGTCTCATATCCCGTGTAAATATGCAAATAGATATACTTTTATTTTATTTCTCTTGTACTCTAACTTATGTCTAGATTTGTATCTATTTTCTATTTTTCTGCATAGTATATGTAAGTTTATGTGCAATTATATGTCTCGCTACTGAAACACTGCAATTTCCCTTCGGGATCAATAAAGTTCTACCTACCTACATACCTACCTACCTACGTACCTACCTATCTATCTATCTATCTATCTATCTAAGAGGGCAGACTTTTTGTGTTACATTTTCATGTGGCAAGCAATCCCTGTGCTAACCACTCCATTCTCCCCTGTAGTGTTTTGTATAGTTTCTCATCTCTATTGTCTACTGCTGTTCTGTGTTAGCACCAGAGGAACTACAACAGAGGATCTGTATTTGGTTGCTCACTCAACACATGGCTGTGGTGAGAAGGAACTACAGTAAAGCTGACTTTGACTCTCCACTGGAT